CAACATGCAATAGGTTGAATCATGATTTTCTTTAATCTCCTTTGCAACATCTTTACATATGCCTTACAATCAGGGCCGGCTCAACGTAACTGGGGGGCCTAAAGCGAAATTTTCTTTGAGGCCTAAAAAATTTCATACATATTTATTTAAAAATTACTTTTCTAATTGTTTAGATGCACATTATTACTTCAACTTTTTAATAGATGATTATTTGAGTACTTTTTTAAAAAAAATTAATTAATTTTAGGTAAGATTTTATCAATTCAATGCTGAAAAATATCCTTTTACTAAAGTAATCATTATATGAATTATGAAACATAATTCTCTAAGGAATAAGTTGACAAACCTTAAGCAAAATAAGAGTTAGAACCATAAAATCTGATTCAAGACGTTGACAACTTGATATACCTAACTTTGATTGAAAATTTAAGTAAAACAAAATTGTGATTCACTTTGTTCAACACTGTTCGACTAATGATTTAGATTTATGATAGAGTATTACTTTAATTTATCAAAGATTTGAAGAAAAAGAGTGAAAAAGGAGTTTTAAAATAAATAAACAATGTGAATGACAGAAATGTAATAAGACAAAACAACGTTTTCTTGATTTCTTCTATTTGAGTGGAGTTAAGGAGAATAAAATAATATATATATATATATATATACTTTTTATTATAAATAATTATTATTTTTATAAAAATAAAAACACATAATTTATTCTTGGTAAAAATTTGAGGCCTCCCAAAATTGGGGGCCTAAGGCATGTGCCTTAGTTTTTCTAAGCAAGAGCCGCCCCTGCTTACAATATTTTGAAACATAATCATATTTTATTCTAATCCAGTTTTCTACCACTTCTTCATTTTGCTTCATCATCCCAATTTTGATGCGCTTTGGGAAATCCCTTAAAGGATCCACCTTCACTTTTATCCTCGCACAACTTGGCCTTGTCTGATTCTTGTTGGCCATGTAAATGGCAGGAGATTCAACACATCAAACTACACTAAAGGATTGACATGAATCTTTAGGAAATTCAACACAACAATGTATTGTCACTGTTGATTCCAAACATACACAATATATATGGTCTTACAAATAATACAATGATTTAAAATTTGAATATCGTACTCATAAAAATTGGTAATTGATTATTTATTAATTTTTAAAATAACTATATTAATTGACACGTGTCATCAATCCAGAGGGGAGTTGGCTCCTCATAATTCATATATCCTCCAAACTACATCTTTGCATTTTGTTTAATTTTTTATGAGAGAAAATGAGCCACAAATTGTGGTTGATGATCAAAAGAAAGAAAAGTGAATCATATTAGATAAAAATTGAAACCTTTTATCAAAAAGGTAGAGGGTAGAGTTGCAACTATTAGGTTACAACTCTCCCCTTTCATGAAATTACCTCATCTCTTTCTTTTTCATTCTCATACTTTCTGTAATTATTTTATATCTTATATACACAAAACAAAAACATATTTTTCTTTCAACATTTGTTGATTGAATTTACATTTCAAGAAACAATTCATTCAAAAAAATGCAAACAACAGCTGGTAATAATGAGGACATTCCAACATCCCCTAGTCATCAATTGTCACCACAAAATTCTGCACAAGGAGATTTTTCATCGCAATTATCACCACCACGATTTCAATCACAAAATTCAATGCATAGAAATCTCTCCTCATCCTCATCATCATCACAAAATTCAATGAATGAATCTCATTCAGCTATACCAGCAACAACAACACCAATTATGTCTAATTTGATATCATCACCACCAAAAAATCCCCTTTATGGACCCCCTCCACCAGCACAATTGTCATCATTATCGACACGAATTCCGTGGCCATTAATTCCACCACAACACCAACCACCTCCATGTCACCAACCCCCTATGATGCCATATTACCCACCAATGGGGGTGCCACCACCATTTCCTCCACATCTTCCTATGCCCTTTCCTCATGACCAGTTTCATTCATTTCATCATCCAATGCTCCTTGGAAATACTAATAATAATATTAATAATAACTCAAATGGACAAAATTATAGTCAGCCTTGGTCCACAGGCCTTTTTGATTGTTTTTCAGACATCAAGAATTGTAGGTTCCTTTAATTATTTCCTTGATTTTTCTCTCATTTTTTAAATTTTTTTAGAGCTAATCATGTTTTTACAATATTTTGTAGGTTTTATTACATGTTTATGTCCCTGTGTTACTTTTGGGCAAGTGGATGAGATTTTATCTCAAGGACAAATGAGTAATTTTCTAATCAAGATATTTTATATAGCAAAACACATATAATTATACTACTCATCTGTCACAATTTATATGACATAGTTCGAATTTCGAGAGTCAAACTTCTTTATTTTGATCACGCATTCAAACATGCAACCTCACATATAATATTACTTCCTCTGTCTCAAAGAGTTTTTTGTTTGACTCTTGAAATCTGAACTATATGTCATATAGATTGGAACGGAGAGGAAATATATATATTTTATCTAATTTTTGATATTTTCTGTTAATGTATAGCTTGGTGGGAAGCTGCATTAATGTTTGGACTTTTGGAAGCATTTTGTTGTCAAGCATCATTGGTTTTTGCATGGTATCATCGTGTGCAATTCAGAAAAAAATATAATTTGATGGGAAATTTATTCAGTGAGTTTGCAATTACTCTTATTTGCATGAGATTGGTCCTTTGTCAGAATTATCGTCAGCTTAACAAACTTGGCTTTGATGTAGCTCTAGGTAATTCTCTTTTCATCATTCTTATCTATGCTTCGTATCTTGCTATTTGATTGTCATATTTTCTTATAATTCTGGTTCGATATCATTGATCATTTGATTTGTGCGCCTAACAAAAAAAATTCTTTACCTACTCCGTAATGATAGAAATAAGGTTTATGCATATCATATTCTCCTCAAACTCTGCTTATGGAATCATGCTAAATATGTTGTTACTCTTTTATCATTCTCATATATGATCAATATTAAAAAAATAGTGTGGTTTGATTCACATGAAGTACTAGTTATACAAAAATTACAATACAAGAATTGTTTTAAGTAGTGAATGATATTGACGAGATATATTGTCATGTAATGAACAAAAATATTTTCTCCATAAATTTATGTGATCATGTTTGACTGATCACAAAGTTTCATTTTTTGAAACTTATGGTCTAAAATAAATCTTATATCTCGTTAAAAGGTATGAAAGTTTAAATGTAAAACTATTTTTACCATAGAAATATGTCGTCATCGATTTTCAAAATAGAATAAAAATGAAAGAGTGTCACAAGTTGATACATATGTGTTATTCTTATGTTGTGATTACATACTTCAAGAATTTATCTTTAAATACTTTTATCTCGTATTGCTAATACACATATTCTTGTTTTACATTCTAATTTATGTAAAATAATACATAAATTCATGCATAACTCGATGTGATATTATTTCATCCAGTACTGGACTATAGTTGTTGCATTATCTATTTTAGAATTGTTTTTTCTTATATTTGGAACTATTTTTCATAGAATATCCAACCAAATTATAACCTCTTATTATTTTCAGGATGGAAAGCCATTAAGAAGAAACAAAGAAGAATAGCAAGCCAAAATGTTGTTCAATTTATGCCACCAATGGCTAATCCTGGGATGTTTAGATGAATAGAAGATTGTTGCAAACCAGTCAAAAGTGGTTGAAGAAAATTATTGATTTTTATCATTAGATCATTAGATATTTAACAAAGCCAGAAGTTACATGCATTTCAATTGTTGAATTCTTCACATTGAAGAATCTATAATATGCTATGTACACAAATTTTGGAAATTAAATGGGATATATCATGATCCTTTTTTTTTATAACTACTAATTTCTTTGATTAGATGATAATTTTATAAAACCCAACTGTCTTCAATGTTCTATGTCTTGCTTCTCATTAGTTCCCTGCCCCTCATTTTCACTAATGAAAACTTTAATTATAGTTGGAAATGAGAGTATCTGCTTGGCCTTCCATAAGTGGGGACATAATAAAGCGTTCATAATTAATAAAGACGTTTACTGTCTGTTCTTGATTTAATACACTTCCACTATATTGTCCTAGTAGATATAGTTACTTTCTCTCGAACCATAGTACTATTATTTGATTAGATCATCGAAACTTTTATTTCTCTTGAGATTTCTTCAATGTTCAGTTCTACGCACGTTTTTTTTCCGGAGGTCTAATTTGTAATTAGGGTATTATAGGGCTGTAAAGATTGACACCAAGGATATATGAAGTCAATAGGTCAACGAAGGATATTTTTAAACCAATTTCATTAGCTCAAGGGTATTATAGGCCTTTTTCCGTTTCTATTTACTCACATTCTCTCCACTCAATTTTTGCACAGCCTTTCACCTCATCTACTTCTTTCTCCTCTTGTGGATATAGTTGAGGGCGAATGACAAAACACTCCTTCTCATATGTACCTATTGCTCAACAAATCTATGTTCACTTCTTCTTTCAAACAACACTATTTTGGAGTAATTCTCCTCAAAATCCTGGATCTCCATCCATCCATAGGAAAACCTTCATCTCATTGAATATTGAAGGTCCTTATTGATGATCATTGTTCTATTTCCTCTTCTTCTCATATTATTCTTGATTTTCCGTGTAAATAAGCAATTTATCTCGAGGGAATTAATAGGTTTGTACGTAGTGTTGGAAGTGGTGGTAATGAAATAAGTGAATTAGCATATGTAGTAATAGAGAGAGTTTTTTTCCCTAATAATTGTCTTTTAATTGATTTTTAATATTTATTGAATTAGATTTGTACACGCTTTGAGTAAAAAATATTTGAGTTATAAAATAGGCAAATGACAAGTGTGGGGGGCACAATTTTTTTTAAATTTTGCATACTTTATAACCATTCATTAGTCTTCCTTCCCTAAAAGTGGAGTCAATATATCCATTTTTTTTCTAAAAAAAAAAAAAACTAGGTGCCAATATGGCCCTACCTAACCAAGAAAATTGATTAAACAAATTCTTGGGAAAAGTGCATCAAGAACTAAAGCCCTTTACTTCTTTTTTTTTCCTCTCTTTTTCTTCTTCCTTCTCTTCCATGCCTGTTTTGTCTTCATCATCATCTCTTTCTGCAAAACAAGATGTATCCTATCATGAACTCGAATGGGTATAACCAATTCGTTACTAATAAACCATTAGATAATGCATCGTCGCAACCATATTCATACCCTCATTTATTACCTTATGGATATGGTATGCCTCCGCCATCGCCGCCACCACCACCACAACAACAACATCAACCATATGGATCTCCTGATGGGTCTTCTGTATATATTCAAAGAGCCCCTATTGGAATAACCAAACATATGGAAGAGACAACTTGGTCAACCAACATGTTTGCATGTGGTAGAGACCCCAAAAATTGTATGTATTCTTCTTTATTAATCACTTTTTATGTTCGGATATATATAGTTTTATGTTAATTGTCAATCGAATATCGTTATTCCAACATCTTTTGATGGGTTTAATGACTTCATTATTTTTTTAAATTTGAGGGTTCAGAATTTAATATTTTTATATACATATAAATTGTTGTATAGTTATATATTTCATCCATCTTTGTCTTCGATCTTTTCTATTGTTTTGAGATGGATAACGTGAACAAACTCACACATGCAAAACTTTTTATTTTTTATTTTTATGAACTGAGACGTAATTGTTATTATTGTTGTTAATTAATGACCTCATTTTATGCATGTATCTAGGTCTTACAACATGTGTTTGTCCATGCATAACATCCGGGCAAATTGCAGAAATAGTGAGTGAAGGACGAACGTGTAAGATCCATAAATAGTTATATATGTGATATAAGTTGGCATAATACATAAACTTGTCCTTTAACTTATCTTCAACTGACATCTAGACTCTTCAATTTTGGATATGCAGAAGAAGACACTTAAATTTGTATAAAGTTGAACAAGTAGATACGTGACATCCTATGTGGTAATTCATGTCTTACGTGACATTCTATGTGTATTATGTCATGTAGGACATATGTGTCTACTTATTCCACTTCATACAAGTTTTAAGTGTCTAGTTGTGCACACTCAAAGTTGGAGAACTGAAGTTAAGTTAAAGGGCACATGTATTATGTCATATAAGTTTAAATTAAACTTAGGTTTATGTTTAATTATTGCTAATTAATTTTCTTTTTTTTTGTATTTTGGACAGCATGCATGGAAGGAGTGATAATAAACATGTTACTCTGTTGTTTATGTTGTACTACACCACTTTATACTTTTTACTACAGAGTTAAATTGAGAAGAAAATTTAAGTTGGAAGGGAATGAATGTCTTGATTGCCTTATTCATACATTATGTTGTTATTGTGCCTTATGTCAAGAATATCGTGAGCTTCATCGTCAAGGATTTGACCCTGCACTTGGTAAGTCTCGGTGCACAAAGCATTCTGTAAAAACAACTTTTTAACTTGATTTCAGCTGATATATTTTTGTTACATATGTCCTAAGTGGTAATGTGGTATAATACATGTATGATGCCAAGACACAAAATTATCATTAGGATGTCACGTAGGACGAATGTGTCTATTTGTTCAATTTTATACAAATTTAAGTGTTTACTTGTGCACATTCAAAGTTGAAGGGAATAAATGTCGGATATATTTATGTATCATGTCAATATTTTATCCTATTAGGGTTCATGATCCCGCAGATTTTATAATTAAATCATGAACATTGTTTTTTAATTCGACCTCATATGATATTTATGTCCTCCAACTTTAGTATGCAAAACTAAACATTTGAACTTGTATAGAGTTGAACAAGTAGACACATATCATACTTGACGTTTTATAAGGCAATTCATGTCCTAAGCAACATCCTACATGGTATTTTACGTGTATTATGCTAATCTTTTATGTACATATGTTCAGGATGGGCAGAAAATATTGAGCGGCAAAGCCATGCTGTTGCTGTTTTCACTATTACCCCACCTCCAGTTCAAGAAGCCATGAAAAGATAACAGTTCAATTATTTTTTTTGATCAGTTAATTATCAAGGTAAGAATTATAGAGTTTTGTTCTAAATACAGAAGAAGCAGCTTGTTTGTTTTTACATTAGTTTGGTTCTAATGGTAAAGTTTGGCACATATGTCAAAAATTGAACAAGTAACTCATGTGTATTATGTGGCATAATACACAAAGGACGTTATATAGGACATACGTGTCTACTTGTGCACACTATAGATGCTATCTGAAGTCAAGTAATAAAAGTAATTAATATCACTATAGCTATAATTCTTACACTTTGTTATTATTATTATTTTGTCATTTATATGTGCAGATATAATTACCAACTACACCTAATGCTGCTATCTTTGAAAGGTCAAAGCTGGAATGTCCCAAGCTAACTTTAATTTGTTTTCCTAAATGTAGGTGAATTCTCAAATAGATTGTAATTATCAGAACAATCCACTTGATTACCTTCTTGAATTAGGATTAAAAAAACAATTTTGGATTTTGCATATATTTTCCACTTCAAGTAGATAGAAATTAATCTCAAACATATGTTGTGTTATGGACATTTCCAAAAACTAGTAGCATTGGGCATAAAGTCAATGTAGAGATCATATCTACAACTAGTTTTCTCTTTGTATGTAAATGGGTTGTATAAACTAAGTTCTTCATGAATTTAAGCATTCCTTAGATGATCATTAATCAAAAAGTTCATGTAAAGTTCAACTCACATGCATTTTAGGTTACAATAGGCACAAATTCGATGCACAAAGCATCTCGCGTTCATGCAGAGTTTGAGGAAGGGCTGCACCTCAATAGGTGTGTTGAATATAGTCTATTCTAATGCAAGCATTAGTAGTAGCTTCTACGGCTTGAGAATTTGGTTTACTAATCACGAGGTTGATATTGATCGTGGGCTCCGCCTGAGTCTCCACTTGCCTATTCAAACTACCACAACACCTATATGACTAAGGGGAGTATGTATTATGTATATCCCTATCCTAAACACGAATCTATTCCACGATGCCTAGGTTCAACCTAAAATTAACTTACTGATAAACTAATGATGACAATAATTAAAGAAGACATTGCAAAAGATTTCAAGGTCAAAGATTTAGTAGAATTGAAAAAAATAAATCTTTCTTGCCATAGAGTTCATCATATCAAAACAGAGGAAGTGTGATTTGAAAGTTGACTTCAAAGGTGCCACTGGGAGCTTCTAAACCAGTTTACACACATCTCGAGTACTTCCACAAGTGAAGTCTGTGGAGGATGACATATATACATATCTTACTCCTACCTTATACAAGCAGAGAGGTTGCTTCCAATAGACCGTCTCGAGTAAGAAAGAGGATGCCAAGATGGAAATACACAATTCAACTAGAAAATTGAGATTTTCCACACATCTTTATTAATCAACTTATAATGTCTTCAATTATTACAAAATACATTGTCCTTCATGAAAATTCAATGACTTATTATTATGTATGACATTTGAGAATCCACCCTCCAAACCTAATTGATATTAGGATTGTTCTTATTTGTAAACTTACAATCTTGACGAATTTCACCATTTTTACCTGTCAACACTTTAAGACCTCCCATTCTACTAATCGATAATGCAAATCCCCTTCGAAATTGCTCCAAACTCTTTGCGTATTCATTGACTAGTTCACCTGTATCACCTCCATAAGATAATTGTTGATCAACTCTAAGAAGTGATTCATGAGCAAGAGCCTTAGTGTAGAATTTGTTACTGAATGTATAGTTAGAACCATATTCTTCAGTAAAATAAACAGGTGAATCATTTTTGCTGTTTTTAGGACATTGGTTCCTTAGCTTTACTAACACAGATCTCTTCATGCTGGGGTCTGGTTTTCCGGTACCTTTGAAATCGTAAAGCCGGTCATAGAAGGAGCTGCAATGTGCTTGTCCCATTGTATGTGCCCCTGAAATAGAAACCAAATGGCTGGCGTTTAGAACAATAACAACATATCCAGTATAATCTAGGGTCTGGGGAGAGTAAGTGTGTAATTATTTTTTTTTAAATGTCGTTAAAGAAGATGAAAAAGGACGTTGAGGTAACGACAACAACAACTATATAAAAGTGGATCTTGGGTTTGACTTGCTCGACCCCAAAAGCTAGTTCAAAAGGTGAGGATTGTCCAAGACATATGAAGAGACCAAGTGCCTCATCTCTGAGTAGGAGGCTCAACACACTCTCGCACGTCTAGACTTGTCAACTAGCATGGACAATTTATGGAAGCCCAACATTAGTGAAACGTGGAATTAAGAGCGTGGACAATATAATGGACGCCCAACATTAGTGAAACATGGAATTAAGATATATAGATTCAGCTCTAACATCATGTAAAGATATGAATATGGAATTTAACTTTCCAAAAAGCTAGTTCAAGAGTTGAGGATTTCCCAGTACATATAAAGAGACCAAGTCCCCCATCGCTTAGGTGATGTGGGAAACTCAAAACAACTACTCCTCAATTCTAAGTAGGTGGCATCCGCGGTATTGTAAATTCTCTATTCAAGTCTATAAAAAGACAACCAAGAAAGAAAATTAATCTAAGGGTTGATTTCTCAGACCATCATATTTTTTCTTGATTCTAGATACTTCTTAAGAAAACAACTATTAGTTGAATAATCATATAATAAGCCTTTAAAATGACAGAAAATTATATAAGTCACATATTTGTGTACCTAAAAGTGTGACAAAGTCTTGAACATCAAGATTTTTGGATTCAAAGTAAGCAAGTCCTTCCTCCCAAGACATTGAAGGTGAAGGATAATCAATCCATTCAGCTTTTGATTCTACTCCATCCCTTCTTCCCAAGAACACTGGATAAGATGGTGCACCTGCCTGTTTTACATGGTTTTTTTTTTCAAAATTAGTTAATATATATCGCGATAAATTAAATAGATAAAGCGCAATAGAGAGAGAGATAAATTAGTTACATAATGGACGGCATCCCTAACAGCAAGATTGAGAATATCAGCACAAGAAACGGCTCTAGGACATCGAATTTCAAGCACTTTTTTTATTTTATCGATCAATAAGTATCCATCTAGCCTTGCGTTTTTCGATGAATTTCTCTCTGTGTTTGGACCCGTTAGCAGAACTGATGCATCGCAACCCTGGACAACAATAGTAAAGAAATAAGTACACATGCACGAATTAATTAGTTAGTGATTGAGTTGATATCTAAGACGGTCATTCAACGAATAGTTATATTATAAGAAATTCATTATCATTGTATACTCTACATGATGATTTAGAATATATAACTCATATTTACTGACAGTGTAATGAATTTCAAACCTGATGTGATTTATTGCGTCAATTTTCAAGTTACTTTCAATTACCGTCAAACTTCTTTATAACGATCATATTTTATAATAAATTTTCACTATAACATGAATCATGCATGTTTTTCGTGGAATCCATCTTTCATGCTATATGTTATCTTACAATAAATCAAAAAAATGATATCGTTATCGAGAGATCTGACAATATTATGATAGTTAGGATTTCTATATAAACACACACTCTACTCAAATTCAATGTGAAGAAATCTTACAATTAATTGTAACCCTCGGGGGTGGCGAAGATTGGGATGTTCAAGGGGAAGGGGGTGGGAGGATTTGGTGCGTGGGGAAGAGATAATAAACTTGCAATGTCACTTATGTAACTTGTTTTTGCTATTTTGATTAAGAAAGTCATTTTCCTCATTTTTAAGGAACTTGTTAATCTAGAAAAAATATATGACCAATTAAATATGAAAAACATTTTCTCAAAAATATTTTCCTCAGGAAACACGGAGTATATAATTTGTTTCTTTAAAGAGAGATCACAAACCAAATTTAGAGGCTTAGATCTAGATCATTATCTAATATTTCCTCTATTTTAATTAATTAGTTGCTTAATTAAAGCTATCTGTCTTTAAGACGCTGCCCAAGATACTTTTCTTAGGGCTGAATAGAGATGCATTCCCTATGTTCCATTTTAAGATAAGGTGTTATTGTTTGGGGAGTCCAATAATATTTTTTATTATTATAATTTTATCAAAAAAATATAAAATATTTTGAATTAATTATTAGTTAGTTTGTAGTACTTCCTCTAGTCCATAGTAAGGGAATTATTAAGAATTTTTTGTTCAAAATAAGTGAACTTTTTCAAAGTTCATAAGATTGTTAAGACTCTTTTTTTTGTTCAAATTAATCCTTTCTTTTAATAAAGTTATTAACTACTTTACAAGATTTACGCAGTCCTTGTGTGCTTGCTTTGTGCACCGGCATAGCATAGGAGAATAATTTAGAAATAATCAAAAGAATAATAATAGAAAGTAGTATTTGATTTATATCCTTACATATTTTTCTTAAAAGGTGTGGCATACCCTATGTTCCATTTTAAGATAAGGTGTTATTGTTTGGGGAGTCCAATAATATTTTTTATTATTATAATTTTATCAAAAAAATATAAAATATTTTGAATTAATTATTAGTTAGTTTGTAGTACTTCCTCTAGTCCATAGTAAGGGAATTATTAAGAATTTTTTGTTCAAAATAAGTGAACTTTTTCAAAGTTCATAAGCTTATTAAGACTCTTTTTTTTTCCCTTCAAATTAATCCTTTCTTTTAATAAAGTTATTAACTACTTTACAAGATTTACGCAGTCCTTGTGTGCTTGCTTTGTGCACCGGCATAGCATAGGAGAATAATTTAAAAATAATCAAAAGGATAATAATAGAAAGTAGTATTTGATTTATATCCTTACATATTTTTCTTAAAAGGTGTGGCATACCCTATGTTCCATTTTAAGATAAGGTGTTATTGTTTGGGGAGTCCAATAATATTTTTATTATTATAATTTTATCAAAAAAATATAAAATATTTTGAATTAATTATTAGATAGTTTGTAGTACTTCCTCTAGTCCATAGTAAGGGAATTATTAAGAATTTTTTGTTCAAAATAAGTGAACTTTTTCAAAGTTCATAAGATTATTAAGACTCTTTTTTTTTCTTTTTCAAAT